TAATTAATTATATTAATTAATTAAATTATATTAATTATATATTATATTAATTATAATTATAATTAATTATAATGTTTACCACACATTTTAAGTCCATGGATCGCCGTTGTATTTTGTAAATACGAAAATAGTAATCAAAAAATAAATAACAATCGCGCAGTTGACCACACATCTAGATTGCCGTGGTATTGTGCCCGAATATAATAAATTTTTGAGTCCGTATTTCATTCCTTAAACTTAATATCTGTTTTCAAAATTTTGCAAGCAGTTCACGCACGAAGAATTGAAATAATGATGTATTAGTCAAATTGAAGTCCTGTTAGACCACTGGTTCTTAACCAATGTGCTATGGCCCACTGGTAAGCCTCAGAGCCATTTTGAGGTGGGTCACAAACATATTATAAATTACAAGGTTTGTTGATTGGAAAAATTGATTTGATAACAAAATCAGCTTCACGCGTCTTGAAAAACAAGATATCTATTTGCAAAACATGCCTCGCCGTAACCCACCCATTGTGGCGCAACAAATCCATTATACGGCAGTAACAGCTAGAAATGAGTATATATATATAGCAATTTGCTTGCACATTACATCAAAATTAAAAACAATATAACGAGAATGTCATGGCCTTCAATATTCGCCAGGCTCGAACTGAGAACACCATATAAAAAATTAACATGAAACGAATCCACCAGGACATTGTCGCATAAATATTAAACTCATATATATTCAATTTTCTTCACTATCCGTCGGAAGAAATTTCATCCACTTTGTCCTTTTAGTTTTCAGCTTTTCAGTGACTTCAACCACATCAACACCAGTCGGAAAAAATTTCATCCACTTCTTCCTTTTAGTGTCCAGCTTTTTAGTGACTTCAACCTCCTCATTATTCGTCGGAAGAAATTTCATCCAATTCTTCCTTTTAGTGTTCAGCTTTTTAGTGACTTCAACCACCTCATTATTCGTCGGAAGAAATTTCATCCAATTCTTCCTTTTAGTGTTCAGCTTTGACTTCAACCACCTCATTATTCGTCGGAAGAAATTTCTTCCACTTCTTCGTTTTAGTGTTCAGCCTTTTAGTGTTTCTCAATTTTTCACCTTTGGGAACACTTCAACTTCCGTTTTTCCGACACTTCATCCGTTTCTTCCTTCAGCCTTTTAGTGTTGTCCAACTATGAGATGTTCTAAGTCCATACCTGCCATACCGATATCTAATCAATCTGTATAAAAATCATTGTACATTTTTCATTGTTTTGAAAATAATAACTATCATTGATATACAACGGCATTATACAATCGCCAAAACGTCTCAAATTTATATCCAAACAACAGCTGTCTTACCTACTCTGCTCTTAAACACAATGCCTATCAAGTTCCTGATCCAAAATACGGGCACCCGGAATATGACCTTTTGACATGCGTCAACGCAACGCAGTGTGAACAAGTTCAGCGCATTGCGTTGCATCTGCGTCAAAATATAACGCAACGCACTGCGTTGGTGTGAATGGGCCCTTACTTTAAATTGCCGTTGAACATTTTCTGTTAACACTATACAAGGTTTAAAAGGCGACTTTTTCCCGAGTTGTGAGGATGTATATAATATAATTAATCTAAAGTATATTCAATCAATTTTATTGTAATGAAATAAATTTTACTCTGAGATATTACAGCATATTTATTAATATTCATTAACAAGTACATCTAAAAATCTGCCGGATTCGCAAAATACGGATCAAAACAATATTTAATCGGACAGTTTACCTCACGTTTTTATATTTATGACCGCGGATTGCAATGGTATATATAAGTGTGGTGGGGATTTTATTTTGTCGATGCAACCGCAGGTTAAATTGAAGACAATAAATTAATAAAGCAAGACATTTTAAATATGCCCGTGTCGGTCACGAATTCATCACTTTGCACAACAGAAAAATACATATTCGTTGTTATAATATTTGTTGTAAAAGTCGACTCTTTTAACAGGTGGCATAATCACGGCGATGAATATGTATTTTTAAATTACTGCTAAACTTCATATGTATATTCATTGTATGAAATGAATTATACTCTACACTCTACAACAGGATTTTATATAATTATTTGAGATTTTTCTAACGGCGATAACAAGTTGGCAAGATTGCAAAAATACGTATCAAAATTAAATACATCGGGCAGTTTATCTCGTAATTTTAGGTCACTGATCGCCGTGGATCGAATAGTATTGTTTTTTTTTTGACGTAAGAAGAAGCAACCGCGAGTTACGTTGGACACATTAAATTAATATATAATGATATTTTAGAATCTCGTAGTTGTCATGGATTGAATATTTTACATAACGGAATGATCATTATACGCTGAAAAGACGGCTCTTTTAACGAGCGTGGAATCGCGGTGGGTGTTACAGGCGGCAATGGGAATTTCCCAATTCGAAAATCCAGGCTGCGCTCTGGCAGTGGTGGTCATCTATTCTCTACTAATTCATTTCTAATTCCAAACACAACAATATGTTACACACAATAACAATATGGTTCACATAAATTAATATACAAATATACTGGTAGGTAGCTTAGTAGAATACTATAGGCTTAAATATTAGAATTTTTGAAGACATAATGAATTTTCGATAGTTGTTGCCTGTATTGCCAATAAATTTTATTACTCTCAGAAAATATACACAATCATCTGAATACAAGTAGTATTTTTGTCAATAGACTTGACTATTATCGTAATATCATGGTACCAATGATGGAAAGCGTCGGACAACCCCTTAGCTATCTTTTCATATATGGTCATTTGTACAAAGTGAATAATTTTAATAAACTGACTGTGTCACAAGTTGCTATTTTTTTTATTGATAGCTATAAACTATCAATTACTTTGTGTACATATACTGTTGGTTTGTGGCTTCATTCTGATATTTCTATTGAAGCTTATTTCCTAATTTACTGGGTTTTAATCAACTAAAACAAAAATGTGTTATTTTTGATTTTAGAATGTATTCGGAATTCCAGATTCGAAAACATTATTTTAGAATGTATTCGGAATAGTTTAGTATTCGGAAATGGCCATCCCTGACACAGTGTATGATTGCGTGAAAGAGGGAATTGAGGCAGGTGAATTTTCCAGTCCATTGTCATAGGGCCTATTATAAAAATGGTATATATCATTAAACTTACAATGGTAATAGGGGGGGTGGGGCTATTTGAGTAGTTTTTGACATTTGAACCGATGTAAAATCTGAGTGAAATTGATTCTCCGTGAAATTATGGTTTCATTGTAACATTCTGACCCTGTACTTCCTTGCATAACATTTTGAGTCTTATTCAATGTATTCAAGTCACCTTAAAATGAATTTTTTTTTTGGAAGTCAGTATACTCAATTTACCTCATTTTTCGAGGATAATTGAGTATACTGACATCTACCAGTTAAATCAAATCTAAGAAAGCCCTAGAACCAAATCATTAATCAAAGACCTTCATGAGAAACTTGGGTACATAGAGTTTATTTTAAAAAATAGTAATTACAAAAACCTTGGAACATAATTATCTGACATCACTTTAAACTTGGTATGATAGATCGCGATTATGGTTTCCATAAACTTTTTACCACAAATAGGCTTTTAGTTTAAATACGAGTTCACTATGGACTAGAAATGGGTGGTTTGACTTGGCCAACAACTTCCTTGATAGAGATACTTTTTATGTTCCTATTTTGGGTTGAATCTAACACAACATCTCTGAGCTCTTTCATACACTGGTATCATACAAAGTTCATTTTATATACATTGGTGAGGACAACTTGGCCAAGGAATTCCCTTTCCCCGTATTTCAACCAGCCAGTCAAGGTCTTGATTTCATTAATGTCAGAATATGCTACTTATAGTTAGTCCTCTGTTATAATCAGCTCTACAATGTGAGAATTCTGTTTCATATTCTGTCTCATCGTCAATAAAGCCCAATCTAATTCTGACTCTGTTACTGCTTTTCTGAACTAATATTAGGATCTTTCTCTTTGCTGCTTTTCTTTTTTCTACCAATCATATCCGTTTAAGTCTATCCTATCAGTATAATGGTATATACTTTCAACTGACGTTATATAGTTTTCGCCTTAATTCTTTTTCTGGGGCGGCTGTTTTTTTATTGTTACTACATGTTTTCGGAGATGACAGTGAGTGTGATTACGTCAACTAAAGCCTTTGTAAATGCACTGAGCTCACTGGTGGAGTAGGACTCTGTGCTTGGCTTGTCCACAGCTTTCTTTTTTACTATTTTTTTTTAGTTACAAGAAAAGAACTGCTTTCTCAAAATCCTACGATTGCCCATTGTGGATTTACACTCATATTCATGAAAAATAGAAGCCTATATTGAAAGATAGACATGATAAAGGCTACAAAAAAGTGTTAGGGCTCAAAATAGTCACACAGAACCTCATAATCCTGTGTTATAGCAGTGGGAGAGGCCATTTATGCATATACCCAATTTACCCCACGGTAAATTTCCGACAGACTCAATTTACCTCGATTTTTTCAAACATCAATGAAACAAAAAGTCAATGAGTTACACAAAAATTATCTACTGGGGCAAAGAGAGTCTTTACTAAGGTACTAAAAGGCCTCACAAAAAGTTTAAAATATACTATCAGAAAAGTGTCACGCAAAAGTTTCCAAAACAATTTTTTTCGTGAACAAAAAAAATTTCACATACAAACATCTAAAACAATTTTATCATTAGTAGGCAAGTGAGTTATACGCAATGAAATGGAAGCATAGGATATGAACTATTGTTGCTACAAAGTACAAACCATTCACTCAACATACAAAAAAGTTAGCGAGGTTTTGATACCTTGTACTCAATTAACCCCATATGCTCAATATACCCCCCCCCCCCCCCCTATTGACAATTGACAGAATATCTAATCGGTAATAATTATTTAGAATGACCGGAAAAAAATGGATATTACACAAAATATGTCCAAATATTTGTGAAGGATGTGTCGTACAATACTTCATGCTTTTAGAGTCGCTGGGCATTGCACAGTTGCATGCACATTTGGCAGTCATTGTACAGAGATGGGCTTCGCCCAGTCGCCCGAATCTTTTTTGCTAGCGGTCTACTTTCCAATTCACTTTAAAATATAATAACACTTAATTAAGGTTGGTTGGGTAAGCTTACATAGCATATATACTGGAAATAAATCATATTAATATATACCCAATATAATTCTATTGAATTTTAAAACAAAATAGATATTATTCAGAAATTAGTAATTTATTTCTCATTTCTCAACAAAGCTGAAAATATGAACTAGAGCAGGGTTGGGCAAAGTTCTCGGACCACGTGCAAAAATTTTGCGCACCTAGACTGGCGGGCCATGTCGCATCTCGCATGCGTGGCGTAAAAAGTTATACTTTACAAACAAAATTTTATTTAAAGTGTTACAAAAACAAAAAGGGAAAACAATAATCCTTGAGCTATTTTTTGAGTGGAAGTGGTGACTCCTCTACGGCCCGTGGGCCGGGGCCATGGCACATCGAATTGGGCCTCGGCCCATCAGGATATGGGCCGCGGCCCATCAAGTTGTGTGAAGGGAATATTCACTCGCCTAACACAGACAGTCCCCGAAGTCATAATAGAACTATAGTGTGAAAAATCTGAACAAAATTTTGTCCCAACCCTAACATGGTACACATACTACAAGAGTATCCTTTCAGTCCATGGTAAATTTTGGGTACTCCCGTAGTGTGTGTACCAGGTTAGGGTTAGGCCATAATTTTATTCCGATTTTCCTTATTTTAGTTCTATTATGAGTTCGGGGACTGTCTGTGTTAGCCAAGTGAATTTCCCCCTGTCCATAGGTTTCAGTCCCTTTACACAACTTGATGTAAAACAGGCGAACAAAATTAGTTACAGCAGGCCTGCACAACTCAAATTACCACGAGGTCTGCAAGCATAAATCTGAACAAAATTTTGTCCCAACCCTAACCTCAGAACCTGGTACACATACTACAGGAGTATCCTTTTCTGTAGCTTGGTATTTTGCTTTATTTTTATATCAAGGCTTATAGCCTAGCTGTAGACTATAGCTGTATAGTAAGAAATAAAATTGGGAAAAAAATTTTTTTTGGTTCGAATGTTGACAATTTTGTAAAAATTATAAATTTTGGTAATATAATTGAATTTTTCTTGATGAGGCCGAGGCCCATAGCTTGATGGGCCACGGCCCATGTGGCCCAATTAGATGGGCCGTGGCCTCGGCCCATGGGCCGTAGAGGAGTCATCCCCCCTGTAGTATTTTTTACCCAAAAACATCAAATTTTAGTTTCAGTTTGATTGTGGCAATTGTTAAAACATATTTTAGATTTCAGCCAATTGAGATCTGTATTTAGATTTGTTGAAATTCATCAGACAGAAGGTTCACAAATGTGCAACTATTCAGATTACTGGATTAAGTCGTCCAACGGGTTGGATTTGGCCTGCGGAAATGTTTGCACTTACCGGTACTCGATAACAAATACTGGTAAATAAGAGATGGCAACCTCAGAAAGTTTAACAAAAAAATGACAAAAGACCAAGTACGGTACCGTACCGTACCTCATCTGGTTCTGTCGTTACCGGTACCGGTACCTACGGTGTTCAGGGATAAATATGTAACTTTTACCGGTATCTACCTTGGGTACCGGTACTCGACAACGAATACTGGTAAATGAGAGATGGCAGCCTAAGAAAGTTTAACAAAAAAATGCCAAAAGACCAAGTACCGGTAAGGTACCTCATCTCGCTCTGTCGTTTCCGGTACCTACGGTGTCCAGGGATGAATATGTAACTTTTACCGGTATGGTACGGGTACCGTATCACCCTTATGAACCGTGATCTGACAACGCACTTAGGGTACGGTACCGGTACCATGAGATTAACTTACACGGTTACAACTATCTCTACTTTCGCCATTCTACTATGAAAGCATTAAAAGTTCAATTTCACTGTCCCATCCACGGCAAAAACGGACAACACTAAAAGGCTGAAGGAAGAAACGGATGAAGTGGAAGAAAAGCGGAAGTTAGCGTGTTCCCAAAGGTGAAAAATTAAAAAACACTAAAAAGCTGAACACTAAAAGGAAGAAGTGGATGAAATTTCTTCCGACGGCTGGTGAGGTGGTTGAAGACACTAAAAAGCTGAACACTAAATGGAGGAAGTGGATGAAATTTCCTCCGACGGATTTCCTCCGACGGCTGGTGAGGTGGTTGAAGACGCTAAAAAGCTGAACACTAAAAGGAAGAAGTGGATGAAATTTCTTCCGACGGCTGGTGAGGTGGTTGAAGACACTAAAAAGCTGAACACTAAAAGGAAGAAGTGGATGAAATTTCTTCCGACGGCTGGTGAGGTGGTTGAAGACACTAAAAAGCTGAACACTAAAAGGAAGAAGTGGATGGAATTTCTTCCGACGGCTGGTGAGGTGGTTGAAGACACTAAAAAGCTGAACACTAAAAGGAGGAAGTGGATAAATTCTCTCCTCGACGGCTGGTGAGGTGCGTTTGAAGACACTAAAAAGCTGAACACTAAAAGGAGGAAGTGGATGAAATTCTTCCGACGGCTGGTGAGGTGGTTGAAGACTAAAAAGCTGAACACTAAAAGGAAGAAGTGGATGAAATTTTTTCGACGGCTGGTGAGGTGGTTGAAGTCACTAAAAAGCTGAACACTAAAAGGAAGAAGTGGATGAAATTTCTTCCGACGGCTGGTGAGGTGGTTGAAGTCACTAAAAAGCTGAACACTAAAAGGAAGAAGTGGATGAAATTTCTTCCGACGGCTGGTGAGGTGGTTGAAGACACTAAAAAGCTGAACACTAAAAGGAAGAAGTGGATGAAATTTCTTCCGAAGGCTGGTGAGGTGGTTGAAGTCACTAAAAAGCTGAACACTAAAAGGAAGAAGTGGATGAAATTTCTTCCGACGGCTGGTGAGGTGGTTGAAGTCACTAAAAAGCTGAACACTAAAAGGAAGAAGTGGATGAAATTTCTTCCGACGGCTGGTGAGGTGGTTGAAGACACTAAAAAGCTGAACACTAAAAGGAAGAAGTGGATGAAATTTCTTCCGACGGCTGGTGAGGTGGTTGAAGTCACTAAAAAGCTGAACACTAAAAGGAAGAAGTGGATGAAATTTCTTCCGACGGCTGGTGAGGTGGTTGAAGTCACTAAAAAGCTGAACACTAAAAGGAAGAAGTGGATGAAATTTCTTCCGACGGCTGGTGAGGTGGTTGAAGACACTAAAAAGCTGAACACTAAAAGGAAGAAGTGGATGAAATTTCTTCCCGACGGCTGGTGAGGTGGTTGAAGTCACTAAAAAGCTGAACACTAAAAGGAAGAAGTGGATGAAATTTCTTCCGACGGCTGGTGAGGTGGTTGAAGTCACTAAAAAGCTGAACACTAAAAGGAAGAAGTGGATGAAATTTCTTCCGACGGCTGGTGAGGTGGTTGAAGACACTAAAAAGCTGAACACTAAAAGGAAGAAGTGATGAAATTCTTCCGACGGCTGGTGAGGTGGTTGAAGTCACTAAAAAGCTGAACACTAAAAGGAAGAAGTGGATGAAATTTCTTCCGACGGCTGGTGGTGGTTGAAGACACTAAAAAGCTGAACACTAAAAGGAGAAGTGGATGAAATTTCTTCCGACGGCTGGTGAGGTGGTTGAAGACACTAAAAAGCTGAACACTAAAAGGAGGAAGTGGATGAAATTTCTTCCGACGGCTGGTGAGGTGGTTGAAGACACTAAAAAGCTGAACACTAAAAGGAGGAAGTGGATGAAATTTCCTCCGACGGCTGGTGAGGTGGTTGAAGACACTAAAAAGCTGAACACTAAAAGGAGGAAGTGGATGAAATTTCCTCCGACGGCTGGTGAGGTGGTTGAAGACACTAAAAAGCTGAACACCAAAAGGAAGAAGTGGACGAAATTTTGTCCTATCAATTTTGAAGCGAAGGCCGAACATTAGGAGAGTTAAATAGCCAAAACATATCCCGACGGAAGTGAGATTGGATGAAGACCCTTTTATTATTTAGAAAATACGAATCAGAAATGAATATTATCTGGCAGTTTACCACACATTTCAAACCCACAGATTGCCTTTGTGTTTTTGAGTAACAATGTGTTTATTATTTCGTAAACACGAAAGAAGAAATCAAAAATGAATAATATCGGCATATTACGATACAATAACATTGGCATAATATTTTACAATACAAAAACATTGGCATTCGGCACACATTTCATATCCACAGATTGCTGTGGTATTTAAGAGTACAGTAGTAATACGTTTATTATTTTGTAAATACAAATCAAAAATTAATAATATCGGGTAATTTACCACACATTTTATTTTCCTAAGATTGTCGACGTAACCATGAGTTACGTTGAACAAAATTATATTAATAGGGCATAATAATTTAGAATGATGGTATCGGTCATGGATTTGAATATTTTGCGCAACAGAAAATCATCCTATAGTAAAAAGTCGATGCTTTTAATCTATCATCGTCAAAAGTATGACTTGTTTTCCAACTTCGTGCAATTTATTGGGTATCGTAACCATTGCGACTTTAATTAATTTTCAATTTTTCGACGTAAGGAGTATGAATGTGTAAATTGGAAGTCTTGTTCATTATACATAGTGAAGTGTCGCCCTGAAGAACAGATCGTATCTGAGAAAATGAAAAATAAGGTTACAGTAAATTTGAACCCACGTACATTTGAACCCGTAATTTGGAGGCACGACAATTGCACCAATTGCAATATTTTTTTTACGTATATTTAAACCCATACAAACCCTAACCCGTGGATTTTAGCACCCGCATATAGATTGAACTCGCGGATATATATTGGTGCAAATGTATGGGTTCAAATGTACGTGGGTTCAAAAGTACGGTCATCGAAAAATAAATATTTATGTATTCAGAAGCACAAATGCCGTGCCAGTTGACCTGCCGAATGTTTATTGAAATACGTTGAGTAATTGCATTGTAAAATGCCTTGTAACTCTTTACGTGTGGAAAGATCAAAATTGTCAAATCAATTTCGATAACGTGGATGATAATAACTTGAAACAAGTAAGAATATTCTTGGTAAATTTCGTGTACAAATTTAAAACTTTAGTTCAGCGTCATAATACGTTAAATATAAACTTAAAGATAAGTATATTTGATGCTAACTAGAATGTAAAAGCATGAATAAGTTTTAAATAGGGGAGGGTGGGTGTTTCAAAATCATAAATTCCCATTGCCGTCTGTAAGAGTCTTCGCGATTACGCGTTAAAGAGACGTCTTTTCAGCGTATAATGATTTTTCTGTCGCGTAAAATAGTCAATCCGTGGCAACTACAAGATTCTAAAATGTCTTTATATATTAATTGAATTGTGTCCAACGTAACTCGCGGTTGCTTCTTCTTACGTCAAAATTTAAACATTACTTCT